GCAGCTGCGCACTACCTCGTTCTTCTGGTTTCGGCAGAGTGGACGCTGTCGTGCCTTTGGTCCATTAGCCATTTGGGCTAGTTGTTTCCCTAAGTATTTCATTTCCTTCATTCTTCTTTGTTGTAAAGGACAATTAATATTAGAGGACTTCACTTTTTTTTAATCACTTTTTGGGGGCTTGTCCAACTCTTATCACAATCCATACATACATCAATTGTGTCAAGCACATTTGTACATTCATGGCCCTCATCATTCTCAAAACACTTGCTCTCCACTTAAGCCCTTGGTATCAGCTCCTCATTTTTCCATCCTTCCTCCAGGCTCTCTGACATTTACCACACTCCACCCTATCCCCCACCCCCGCTTTCTTCCCCCCATAGGGAAAAAGGTGTATTCTTTCTTGTTTGGTTGAGCTGAAAGATAACAAAATTCACAACATTCCAGGAGACTATAATTGAACTTTTAACTTTATTATTTTCCTGTTATAAATGTAATGCATATGCATTATCTAAGAGGGGAATGCAAAAGACAGAAAGAAGTAGACAGGAAACTGCCCCCCATTCCCTCCCAGAGGAAGCTAGGCACCTTGGGCATGTTTCATTTCGCCAGCCTTTTCCTGTGTGTTTCTAAACAGAATTCAGGTTTTACTATAGAGAAAATCTTACATCAGCTTTTTCAATATAATAATAAAGGCTTTTTCTTCTTTTCTCTGGTGTCCATAAACATTCTCTTTTCAAGACACTTGTGCCAAGGGCAGAATCACGTTTACCACCTGGCTAGACTACGGGTTTTGGGTTTTCACATCCGCTGCTATGCTGAAAACCCTCTGGGGTGGCTGGGCTCGGCACACATGGAGTCACCTTGAGTCAGGACTGGCTGGTGGCAGCTGACAATGAGTGACCATGACAATAGCCAATGTTTAGTGGTGGAGTCGGGGGGTCAGTGTGTTTAACATGGTTAAGGCCCTTTTGTTTTCCAGAAAGACAAGGGTGGCAGGAAAGGACAGAGGGAGATGGGTGAGATGAGAGGTGGCTTCAAAGGCCAGTGCCAGAAGGGGAGGCTCACAGGTCCTGGCCAAGCCATTCCAGCCTGTCCAGGAGGAAGTCTACGTCGGCCTGGGTCAGCGTGGGGTTGGCCACAACCATGCGGAAGAAGTTGCCCCGGGCCCCGTGGGGCTGGTAGCCAATCATCATGGAGCCCTCCTTCACCATACGTTCCTTGAGCATGGGGGCCACCTGTGGGGAGGCCGCCTGTAGTCAGGGGGGTGGGCTGTTCTCCTGGCTAGGCCCCCCACACCCCAAGACAAACGGATGCTTTCCCTCCCCCATCCAGCCACATTCCTGAGAAAGCCCTCCTGGCTCACACCTTGACCAAGGTCCCAGCCTTTTCAGGCACATGGATGGTGCTGGGCCTGCTCACTGGTGGCGGCGGCTAGCTGCTGTTAAGTCAGTCTCAATGGACTGCAGACTTGACCACTGTGACCCACGGGGTTTTCATGGGCTGATTTCCAGAAGCAGATGGTCGATCCTATTTTGTTTTCCCTCCTCTCTCCCATGTCCAAGCATGCCATCGGTTTCTGCCTAGCCCTGACCTTTCCCTGGCTCCCAGCACTGATGGAGGCTGCCGTTCAGCCTCATGCATTCATAACACCTTGTCCCCTGGCCGGATGCCTGTGCTAGCTTCCATGTGCACCTGTGAGGGAGCATTGCTTTGGACACAGTGCTTTTGAACAGGTGTAGTGGTTCTCGGAAACAGCATCAAATCTCAAGGGCAAGAGAAGGTTGTTCCATTTGAGTCTTCTGGTCCATCCTGGTGGTTTGGTTCCCAGCATCAGCCAGTAAAGCTCTCTGTGATCTCTCTGCCCCTGTTGGTCCCGGGTCTGAGCTCCCAGCAGACGGATCAGCACACTAGGGACCTCTCCCCTAATACTCCCCTTTGTTATTCTTAACTTCCCATAAACATACCTTGCTCCCGCTCTATTAAAACAAGAGAGAGAGAGAGAGAGAAGCTGGTGTTTGCCCCCATCCCCACTGGGGACCAGGGACCAGCAAAGGGGGCTGCCATACCACTCAGAGCCAGCAGGGGGCAAAAGCGCATCGGCTACAATGATTTCCTGAATTGGGTTACCCGAGGCGGCAAAGGAGGGCCTACCTTAGCCAGCCTTTCACCGTAATGCGGGCTCTCCTGTTTCCCCCGCAGGCTGGGGGGCACGAACCAGAAGCATACGTTGACAAACTCGGGCTGGCAGGAAGGAGGAAGGGGAAGAGGGGCACATAAGCTGAGGAAGGAGGGCGGGTCCCCCTCTCCCTACCCAGCACCTCCGTGGGACCTTTGGTGCTAGGAGGAGGGGCTTGGTGCCATACCTCCATGACTAACTCAAATCCTTCCCTCTTCTTTATCTCCTCCACCAGGTACCTGAAAACACGGAGAAGTCAGGTGAAGGAGAAAAGGCAAAAGGTGGAAACAGAGGATGTGGAGGGAAAAATAGATCGGGGGTGGTAAAAAGGTCGAGACTCACAGAATGCAGCAGAGAGACACTGAGAGCGAGAAGGGGGTGTTGGGGGAACCCTGAAAGCAGGCAGAGAGGGCAAGACAGATCTTGAGGGAGGAGGGCTGGGCTGCCCTCCCCCCTCATACCGGGCAAGGGCAAAGGCCCGGTCGACACGCTGCTCCAGCCCCTGGCCGCCCTGCGCCTTCCACATGAGCCACAGCTTCAGACAGTCCACGTGGCGGCCACACTGCACCACTTTGTCCCCAGTGTCCAGAGCCACATCGTAGAACTTGTCCTGCTGGAACAGGTAGCTGGCCTGGGACCCGTGGCAGCGCTTGAGCAGATTCTGTGCAGGGTGGGGAAATGGTCAGGTCCTGGCGGGCTGTGCCGGATGGGAACCGCTGAGCTCAGCCCACCGGGTGACTCAGAACCCGTCCTCTGACTTCCCCAAGGCCGAGTTCTTCCCAAGCCCTCGTAGGGTCCTTCCTGTGGGGACTTCAAGCTGGACACGCTTTCTTTTGTACAGTGAAAGGCTGCTAGGAGGGGAGGGGAGGGGCTGATGGGGTGGACCGGGGTGTGGGCAGAGATTCTGACTCAGGCCGGATGGTGATGGACTCAGCAAGCCCTGAGCCCTCCCCTCAGGTGGGGTGGCAGCCAGCGGGGGCCGGGGCAGGGTGGAGGACAGGGCAGAGGTGGTCCCACCGAGGTATCCTGGAGAAGAAGAGCTGAGCACTGCAGGCCTGCTGTGAGGAGCTTGTGGGGGTTCCAGGCCACAGAGTCCGCCCTGGGCAGGAGCAGAGTGCAGGTCATCAGTCGGGCCCTCCTCAAGCTGCCCAGCCAGAGTCCACCCCACCCCCTGTTCCTGCGAAGGACCCTCTGGCTTCGGCTTCGGCCTACCGAATCAGGGAGACCTCCCATGTCTGGCCTCCTAGCCCCAACCAAGCCCCATCCCTAGTCCCTAGACATGGCTAGTCTCTGGATCAAGGCTTTGAAGGTGGGATCCAGGGAGAGAGGCCCCTACCCACCTCTGGATCCCATTCAGAAGATGCCGGTGTGTCTGTGACAGCAGGGCGCTCCCACCCCAGGCAGCCTGTGGAGCAGGAGGGGCAACATGGGGCCGGGCCTTGGCTCCGTCCCCCCCACCCCCAGGCCGGAGTCTCACTCACATCCACGTGCAGCCACAGCCCGTGGTGCTGGCAGACATCAGCAATTGCCTCCAGGGGGTCAAAGGCACCCAGCACAGTGGTGCCTGAAGTGGCACTGACCATGAAGGGCACAGCACCCTGTGGCAAAGAGGCAGAGGGGTGAAGCAGGTCATGGGTCATCGGAACGACTACTGGGCCTCCTTCTGAGCTCTTTGCATGTCTGACCTGACTGCGTCCATGTCAACACCATAACAATGCGGTACTGCCCCCTTTACTCTGCAGGCAGGGACAAATGGGTTTGAAGTATTGAGAGACTTCTCCAACAGAAGAGTGGGCATGTCGGACTCAGACCTTTTGCCACATATAAAAATTAAATCAAAATGGTATCAACCATAAGAACATTTGAACAAAAATGTATTAAACTGAGCTCTCTATCCCCCCCACCAATTAAATAAAAATAGACCAAAGACCTAAACATAAGAACTAAAACTGAAATTCTCAGAAGAGACAGGAGCGATGCTTCAGGATCTCCCTTTTAACGTAGATTCTTAAATAGTGCAGCAGCAGCGTGAGCAACCAAAGGCAAAGCAGCAAAGCTTTGTACATCGAGGGCTTCATCAAGTGAGAAAACTGGCAGATTGGGATGAAATATTTGGGCGGCAGGCATTGAGCAGCACTCAGTACCCAGATGGTAGAAAGTGCTCTGGAGCTGCACAGCAAAAGGACCCATCTCCAAAGTGGCCCAAGGGTGGAGAGAAGCGCACTGCTCACCCACCGGAAGTGGATAAACACAGCATGGTCAGTGCACACCCCAGAACGCTCCTAGCTAGCCCTGAAAGGCAGGGGAGCCCCTGCCCGCTACAACACAGAGGAGCCCTGAAAGCATCGTGCGCAGGGAAAATAAGTCCAGTGCAAAACCACAATGGCTGTACGAAATAAGCAAGTCTGCAGAAAGCAACCATTATCAGTGGTTATCAGTGGTAGGCAGAAGCAGGAAAGGGCAAGCTTTTACTTGGAGAGTTAAAGGCGGGGGAATGATTCGGAAAGGGCGGTCAGGATGACTGCACAACTTAAAGACCGTGGTCAGTGCCGCTGGATTACACGTGTGAGCCTTGCTGAGCAGGTGTATGTGTTCTATGCATATTTTAACCACAGTGAAAAAGGGGAAGCCAAATCACCTGGCTATTTCAAAGAAGATACACGAAGGGCCGATAAGCATATGGAAACATGTTCAATGTCAAGTGAAAGAGGCAAAGAAAAGCACTCAGTGCCACAGAGTCACTGCTGACTCTGGACAAGCCGAGAGGTCAGAGGAGAAGGCCCCCCCTTGGCTCTGGACAGCTGTGAATCTTCACAGGAGCAGGCGGCCTGCTCGCCTCACCCCAAGAAGCGGACAGGCTTGCACTGCTGACGCTGGGGTTAGCAGCCCGAAGCATTACTATCAAATCAAAACCACACTCAGATACCACTTCACCCCAGGAAGATCGCTATTCTCAGAAAAACAACCAACCCCGAGCGGTGGAGAGGAAGTGGAAAAACTGACACCCTCATCCGTGGCTCGTGGGATTGTCAAGTGGAAAGCAGTCCGCTGGTTCCTCAGAAAGGTAAACCCAGGGCTCTCCCGTGAGCCAGCAACTTCATTCTCTGGAATACACCCAAAAGAATCACAAGTGGGGCCTCAGATGTGTTCAGGGCAGCATTTCCACACAGCCAAAAGTCATGGGATGACTGGAGGTCTCAGGGGCTGGCCCCAATCCCAACTTCCTGGACAGTCGTCCCTCCCCCCAGAAGAATTCACTTCAGAGGACAGCACTGAAGCTGCAGCTCAGGGAGAGGGACATGTCTGATCAGAGCACACGGGAGCAAATGAAGGGGGAGGAAGAGAGAGTGGAGCACATCCTGCTCCACCAGGCCTGAAGGATGATATCCCTGCTCAGAACAGCCAATGCACAGAGAGGACCATATGGCCGGCCCCACTATGAGACACGATATCCCTCACTGACCCATACTCTGACAGGGACAACACTAGAGACGGTGTGGGAACTGCGCCCTATCTGACCCCACCACATGGAGGCAAAACACTAGGTGTGGAACAGAACAGCAAGGGAAACGGAGCAAGGAAGTCCCGAGAGAATACCAAAAATAGACTTTGGGGCCAGGGAATGGCACTCCAGCAGACTGGACCTAAAAACAGTCCTAAAGGTCAACAAACAGACCTTGAACTATTACAGGCTTTTCTCTTTTTTTGTCATTGGTTTTTTGTTGTTGTTTTGTTTTCTTTTGCTCTGTCTTGTTTTTGTGCATAATATTATCTCTGCAGGTCTAGCCAGGTCTAGGTGGGATAGACAATCTGGAGGAGAAAACAACGGGATCGACGGTTCCCAGGGGGACATGGGAGAGGGAGAGGTGGGGGAGAGGGAGAGGTGGGGGAAAGGAAGTTGTGCTAACAAACCCAGGGACAAGGGAACAACAAGTGATCAAAAATCGGTGGGAAGGAGGGGGTAATAAAGTAAAAGGAAATAGAGGAAAGAACTAGGAGGCAAAGGGCATTTATAGAGGTCTACATACAGGCTTGTACATATGTAAATATATTTATATATAATGATGGGGAAATAGATCTGTGTGCATATATTTATAGGTTTAGCATTAAGGTAGCAGATGGACATTGGGCCTCCACTCAAGTACTCCCTCAATGCAATAACACTTTGTTCTATTAAACTGGCATTCCATGATGCTCACCTTCCTGACACGATCACTGAAGACAAGCATGTGCATAAGCAAATGTGGTGAAGAAAGCTGATGGTGCCCGGCTATCAAAAGAGATAGCGTCTGGGGTCTTAAAGACTTGAAGATAAACAAGAGGCCATCTAGTTAAGAAGCAACAAAGCCCACATGGAAGCACAACAACCTGTGTGATCATGAAGTGTTGATGGGATCAGGTATCAGGCATCAAAGAACAAAAAAATCATGTCACTGTGAATGAGGGGGAATGCAGATTGGGGACCCAAAGCCCATCTGTAGGCAACTGAACATCCCCTTACCGAAGGGTCGAGGGGAGGAGACGAGCCAGACAGGGTGCAGTGCAGCAACGATGAAACATACAACTTTCCTCTAGTTCTTAAATGCTTCCTCCCCCCAGCATCCCCACTATCATGATCCTAATTCTACCTTAGAAAGCCAGCTGGACCAGAGGATATACACTGGTACAGATAGGAAATGGAAACACAGGGAATCCAGGACAGATGAACCCCTCAGGACCAGTGGTGAGAGTGGCGATACTGGGAGGGTGGGGTAGAAAGTGGGAACTGATTACAAGGATCTACATATAACCTCCTCCCTGGGAGATGGACAACAGAAAAGTGGGTGAAGGGAGACATCAGACAGTGTAAGATGACAAAAAAATCATAATTTATAAATTATCAAGGGTTCATGAGGGAGGAGGGCCGGGGAGGGAGGGGAAAATAGGAGGAGCTGATCCCCAGGGCTCAAGTGGAAAGCAAATGTTTTGAGAATGATGAGGGCAACATAAGTACAAATGTGCTTGACACATGGATGGATGGATGGATTGTGATGAGTTGTAAGCGCCCCAATAAAATGATCTAAAGAAAAAAGAAGAGATTAGACTAGAGGAGCAAAATGTGCTACTACGTGCACACCCAACCCCCAAACCTGACCCACTGCCATGGGGGGACCCAAGCCCCTGGACGGCTCCACACGGCAGAGTAGTACGGCCCCACAGGGTCTCCGAGGCTGTAACTTTTTTTTTTAAAGATCATTTTATTGGGGGCTCTTATAGCTCTTATAACAATCCATACATCCACTGTATCGAGCATATTTGTACCTAGGTTGTCATCATTATTTTCCAAATACATACTTTCCATTTGAGCCCTTGGTATCAGCTCCTCTTCACCCCCTACCCCCTCCCCCCATTATGACCCCTTGATCAATTATTATTATTGTTTCTATATCTTACACTGACCACCGTCTCCCTCCCCCCATGGTTTCTGTTGTTCGTCCCCTGGTGGTGGTTATGTTTCGATCATAGCGATAGGTTCCCCCAAGGCTGTAACTTTCACTGAAGCAGACTGTGCAGCTGGTGGGTTCAACCACTGACCTTATGGGGGTCCAGCTGGACCACACAATGGACCACCAAAGGGCCTTCAACCCATCGCCCGTGAGCTGATGATAACAATCATGGCCCTCCCTGCAAACGGCGGAGTACTTAGTCAACTATGGCGAGGACGAACGGAAAGGTCTGAAATGTGCTGTGACATGCGCAAACCTTGAAAATAGGGCGAGTGAAGGAAGCCAGGCAAAAAAGGATAAATATTATATCATCCCGTTTATGTGAGATATCCAAAATAAACAAATACACAGGAACCCAAGTTTAGCAGTCCTTAACAGGGGCAGGGGAGCGTGAGATGGGAGGTATTGCCTAAGGAGCACTGAGTTCCTGTTATGGGTAATGAAAAAAAAATGGGACTTTACAGGGGCGATGGTTGCCTAACATAAGAAGTATAAATAACATCAGTGAACTGTACATTCAAAAATAGTTGAAGTGGCAAAGTTTTGCT